GCTTCATTAAAATAGTATTAAGTGTGACTGCTTTTTCTTCTTGTTAGTAGTATTGTTAGTAGTAACTGTGACTGCTTTGTTGCTTGATTGCCTCAACAAGAGGAGCAAGTTGAATAGCTGATAAGAAGATGGCACCACCATTGTCATTGTTGTGATCGTCGGTTGTTGAGAATTACCTTCACAATTTGTGTTTTTTTCATAGAATTTGCCTTGTCGAAAATTGTGTCAGTTTTTCCTCCCAACTGACACCCATCAGTTGGGGGATTTCGATACTGTGCTGGTGAGTAGGATAATAGCAAAGTGTACGTACGTAGACTTGTACATGATTCTCTACTGTTGCATTTTTTGTTGCATTTAGTATTAATACCCCCACTGTAGTGTCATTAGAGAACGCTAAAAAGCTTGCGCTAGTTTTTCTCATCGTCGTTGCATCAACATTTCTACCGGTACAGTAATTCTCTAGGACTACAGTATTTTTGTATTTTTCCCGATTTTACGTTTGAAATACGTTGCAATTTCAACAATTTCAACTTGAAATTCGTCAAAAGCGGTTGACGGAAAGACGACGTAAGAATTAAATTGTGACTCTCTTTCTTCATTTCTCATGATTTGTTGCGGCCGCTGCCGCCATTGTTTTTTTTTTCAGGATAGCGGCGGCCAAAAAAAAATTACCATGGTGCAAAAACTAGGTTATTGCTAGAATGACTTGTTGTCACAATAATGACTGAACATTTAAGTTAAAAATGAATAATTTATTTTGGTCAAGGTACTACTACTAGTAATTTATTTGCAAAAATTAATATACTGGGGTTTGCAGGGTTTGTACAAATCCACACGAAAAAAAGTTTCTTTTTGTTTCCTCGGTAAGTCCAAAGCTGTAAGAATTCTTCAAGGTTACTGGCTACCATGCACTAAAGATATGCTACCAAGGCAACAAGACCAAGAAGATATATACACCAATCAATATACTAAGGTCAATAAGAAGGAAGCTTGTGTGCTCACAACGGCGACAATTAGACAGGACAGCACACATCCAGGCAGTTTTGCAACAGTATGAAGTACTGGAGGCAATTGGAGGGGATTTGATGTCCCCAGTACTTATTAAATACAAGCTGGACGTGAACAAGGAGCAATACAATGGAGTGACATACAAAGACAACTATACAGGGCTGCCTGAGGAGAACAGTGTAAGGAAAGCAATCAATAAAGCTGCCAGACACCGTTTACTGGCCACAGTAATCATCAAAGGCAGCAATAAAGACAGCAGTATGCTGAAGGAGACACTAGAGAATCAGTTCAGTCTAGGGAACAACAACTATCCAGTAACAACAACAAAGGCACTGGATATGTTGAACCATTTCAAAGGAGCTGCAAGGGCGGGGCAAAGAACACACCGTATAATAAACAAAAGACAAAACAAAATATCCATCAAGAGGCAACGGCATTTGTGACAAAAGCTAGTATAACATGTGACAGTGATGTCAGTGAGGTGGATAAGATCCACATAGACGCAATCGCCAATGACCAGGACAATAGCAGCATACAATTGAATAGCCACCAATTACTAATGCAAGCAATTGAATCCAATGAAGACTTCAGAGACAACAGGTTCCTCCATGAGACTAACAGTTTCTTCCAGCAGGGGTTTATTACAAGCAAGTGGGTTGATAAGCCCAGAACCAACAGACTGTTGGGCAGTAAATTGTCCTGCAACCTAATGGTGAATCCACAGCTGGTACGAAGCATATGCAGAGCACCAAATGGGCAAGTGATGCATATCAACTGCAACTCAGGAGTGGCCCACACCAACCTGATAGCAGACCTCCCTGGGTTTGGTGGAGTGTGGTTCTATGAGCAGGGAATAGCAAACGTATTATCACTGGCACTCATATCCAATTGGTTCAGAGTGACGATGGATGGGGACTGTGATGACGCACTGCACATACACAAACTGGAAGGGGGGACGTGCTGTTTCAGGCGCTAAGCCTGTACTAATCTGTACTATTGCGATATTAAAAAACACCAGGGAATAATACTGACCATAACATCAGTGGAGGGCTGGCAATCCAAGTTCTCTGATCTAGACTGCAKGGGCGCAATCAAGGCCAGACAGCTGCAAGAAATCATGGGCTTTCAGACATCAAGGAACCTGATTAGTATGATTGAGAACAAGCTTGTCCAGAACTGTGGAGTAACCAGGCAGGATATATAGAACGCAGAGATTACATATGGGAAACACAGAAGCATAGTGAAAGGGAAGACAGTTTGACATGCCGGAAAGCATGTCCTTGAAGATGTATCACCAGTACCACCAGATGTGTTAGAACGCTTTGGTAAAGTGCTGATCCATGTGGATATCATGACAGTGAATGGTTTACAGTTCTTTCATTCTATATCCAGACATCTCAGGTTCAGGACTGAGGGGGCAATCACAAACGCAAGACATAGGATGTTGCTGGAGTGTGTTGAAAGTGTAATAGGACAGTACAGAGCACAAGGTTTTGTTGTAACACATGTAAGTGGAGACAACCAATTTCAGTGCTTACAGGACAACCTGCTAAAGCTGTCCCCACCTGTGGTATTACACTGTGTTGCAGCAGGGCAACATGAGCCAACCATTGAACGCAGCAACCATACACTGAAGGATAATGTACGCTGCTATGCAAACCACCTGCTATTGAGCTGATATACACAACAACTTACTGGCTAAACTGTCAAACAACAGGAGTACACCAGACAAAATCAAACAGGGAGATAATGACAGGAGTATGTTTGGATGCTGGACAGGACTGCAGGTTCCAGTTCATGGAACCCATCCTCGCCCATGTGGATGATACCGATAACACCATGAAAGCAAGAGCAGTGGATGCGCTGTATCTGCAACCAACTGGATCAATCACAGGAGGTTTCTATGCCTTTGATATCAACAGTGGAAAGCGCATACATTGGAAATCAGCTACTGCAGCACCACTCATGCAGATGTTGTTGCGTAGGGTCACACATATTGCTGAGGCAGACAAGATGCCAAGTGGAGTGTACTTTGGTGATCCAGAAGGAAATACAACAATCCTGGACCTTGATGATACCCTGATGCCCTAAACTTGGACAACAATGATGCTTCAGATGTCACATATCAACAAGCTGGTGGTGTTGATGTATCTGTTGACACCAGGTTGAGTGAGTATGTCAATGAGGAGGACATTAAGGACAGAGAGGCTGAACAATAAAACATTGATATGACCATGGATGTGGGCCCAGTACTGGAGGACAAAGCTGAGGAGAAGACTGCAAGAGATCCAGAAACAGGTGATCTGGATCCTGAGCTGGCAGAGCCAAGAGAAGCAGTAGACACAGTACCAGATACCAAGGGGACAGACAGTCCACAACAGGAGCTGACGCTATTACGCAGGAACCACCAGTGAGTTCCAGGCTGCAAAAGCATGTGACCCGGTCACATAACAAGAATATGTGAATGATGGCTTTGAGGCCACAGGGCACAGCAGATCTTTCTTCACAGCAGGATACACGCAGGCTGTGGAACAGCTCTACAAGGAAGAATCTGTGCTGATGCTGGTTGCAAATGCAATAGCCAACTACAACAATCTGGAAGCGACACAGGCTACCAAACAGTATGGCATAAAAGAAGAGACAAAGGGAGTGTATTAGGAAGGAGGACGCCGCATCACCAATGGTGTCATTGTATGCCCTGGTGCTATCATGTGTGATCAATGTAATTGAAGGCCATGACTTGGCAACAGTGGACATCCCCAGAGCTTTCCTACAAACGCCAATGCCTGAGGGTGAAGATGTGTATATTTGGCTTGATGGGACCATGGCTGAGCTGCTCTGTAAGGTGAATCCAAAAATGTACAGGAAGCACTTGATAAACAAAAATGGTAAGAAGACACTGTTCACCAGGGCTCAGAAGTAAGAAGACACTGTTCACCAGGGCTCAGAAGGCAATATACGGTACACTACAAGCGGCATTACTATTCTGGGAGAAGCTGTATGGACAGCTTGAGGAGTGGGGGGGATTTGAGACTCAAGAGAAATGGCCAGAGATCCAGTACCAAAAGAACCAAACACATCAACATCTGGCAGTAACAGACCAAATCAAGAAAGGAGACAACATTGTTGCGACTACTTCACCAAGCCCCTTCAAGAACAAGGAAGCAAGTTCCGAAAGTTTAGGAACACTATCCAAGGCATCAGCAATGAAGACTGTATCAAATATAAGCAAGCTTATTTTGCTGCAAAGCAAGCAAGAGCAACCAACAAATGTACCCACTAATGCACTGCAGTCTTATAGTTCAGTAAGGATCCTACACAGGAGGAAGCCGTAGGGGGACCCTACCCACATAAAACCGCAGCGAGGAGTGTTTTGAGGGACAGATGTTCACGCACACATCCACCAATCAAGAAATACATAAAATACATGTAATGTGATGACAATCAGGGGTCATAATATAGAGGGGTGTGCAACGAATTTTTTTGCGCATCATGAAGCACGAAAAAAAAAGTGAAACTCATATTCCACGTGCGGTCCAAATTTCCAAAAAGTCACCGAAGGAATTTTTTTCATTCTCATTTTTACTGCATAATACTAGTAAAACTATCCAACCTTCAAGCAGTTACAGCTTTATCAAAAATACTACTATTTTAATTTTTGAGTAGCCAGTCTAGTCCAGTTTTTWATGYTGATTCTGAATATACMATTTTSTHGGATATTAAATTGATATTTGTGGTACTATTTTACTATTAGAAAATGAACATAATTTTCCACAGTAGTACTACTAGTAGTAGTAGTTTTACTAGTACTAGTAGTAGTAGTAGTAGTAGCTGGTAGTACAACAACTACTACTCTAGTATTAGTACCACCACCACCACTACTCCTACTACTATTACTAGTAGTAGTAGTAGTAGTAGTAGTAGTAGTAGTAGTAGTAGTAGTAGTAGTAGTAGTAGTAGTACTAGTACTAGTAGTAGTAGTAGTAGTAGTAGTAGTAGTAGTAGTAGTAGTAGTAGTAGTAGTAGTAGTAGTAGTAGTAGTAGTAGTAGTAGTAGTAGTAGTA